CCATCATTGAGTTCAGCTTTAGAAACAAGATCGGAGGCATACTTTATTTGAGAAAGAAGGTAGCCATCATCTGAAGAGGTCACTTCAAGCCCCAAAAAGTAGCTTAGAACACCAAGATCTTTCATCTCAAATTTCTGACTGAGAGATTGTTTTAACTCCTCAACACCTGCGACATCATCTCCAATAATAATCATGTCATCAACATAAAGAAGTAAAAGAACCATACCCCGAGCAGTCTTACGAATGAACAAAGCTATATCATGTGGACTGGAAGTAAAACCAAACTCACTCACAGTAGCACTAAACTTTGCATACCAGGCTCGAGGGGATTGCTTCAACCCGTATAATGCTCGACGCAATTGACATACCTTGTTTGGAGGATGGTGGAGCCCAGGAGGTGGTTTCATATAAACTTTTTCTTCTAAGTCACCATTAAGAAAAGCATTTTTCACATCCATCTGAAACAATTTCCATCTCTGTATAGCAGCGATAGCAAGCAAACTGCGCACAGATGTAAGACGAGCAACTGGAGAAAATGTCTCTTCATAGTCGATTCCATACTCCTGTGTAAAACCCTTGGCAACCAAGCGTACCTTATAATGCTCCACAGAACCATCAGATCGCGTTTTGATCTTGTACACCCATTTACAGCCTATTAGAGATTTTTCAGCAGGGAGATCAACTAAATCCCATGTATGAGTGTTCTTAAGAGCTTGTAATTCATCTTGCATAGCTTGTTGCCAAAGAGGGTTAGAAGAGGCCTCTTGATAGGATTGAGGCTCATGTAACGAAGTAATAGCAGGAAAACAATGATAATCACGAAGGTAGTTTGGAGGCTTTCTTACCCGAGTAGGATGACTCGAGGATGGGACAACAAGCTCATTTGTAGACGAGGAAGTAGAAGAAGGCTCAAAATTATCTAATGCATTACCAGTAGGCAGATCATCTTTTACAAAACTGGTTGGAGCATGTGGTGAGGCATTGTAGAGCTTATCAGATGTACCTGCATTAGAATCACTAGGAAATAGCTCAATAGAAGGATTAGTAAAAAATGGAGGTTGATGAGAGGATGACACTTTGAAGTTTGACAATGATGAGAACATAGTGTGTTCCTAAAAGACAACATGACGTGAAACTTGGAGTTTTTGTGATACAGGATCCCAACAACGATATCCTTTTTGTGTAATCCCATAACCCAAAAAACAGCATAATCGAGCTCTAGGTTCTAACTTGTTATGTTCGTGAGGTGGAAGAAGAACAAAACATGCACAACCAAAAACCTTAAGAAGATTATAAGCAGGAAGAATACCATGGAGACACTCATATGGAGACTGGTTATTAAGGACTGATGATGGAATGCGATTAATAAGATAAGCAGCTGTAAGAGCAGCCTCACCCCAAAATCGCTCTGGACAA